ACCACCACCATCATCATCATCGTCATCACCATAATCATGTGTTGTTAGACTGCAGTTCATATCATCTCTAGCCAGTATGGCCAGTGGGAAGGATGATGGGAGTTGCTGCCCAGCAATATCCAGGTCATATATTCTTTGTCCCTGAAACTGTTATGTGTTGCCAATTCATCATTGACTTATGGCAACATTAACAGGGATTTTAAGGTATGTTATACAGTATATTCAAGGAGCAGTTCACCACTGCCAGCTCTCCAGTGAGTTTTTGTGGCCAAGCAGGCACTTGAACCCAGGACCCCAGAGTTCTGGTCTGATACTCTTGCCACACTAGCTCTATCCACGTGATTACTGTTTTAATTACAGAGCAAAGCTGATCTTACAACATACAATTCTCTACATTAGTCTCCCCTACAATGAGAGGGATGAGACATATACACAGGAAAACTCCATGAAGGGTTTTTTGAGATTTGATGTGAGAAAAAGGCAGCAGCAGATACTTTTGGATCTTAAATAAAGAACACTAGTACAAAACTTGAAGAACAAGATTTGTATTCATCCTTGCTCTCCGACTTCTCTTTAAATTGACCTTCCCTCACTGTCGTGTGATATAATTGCTTTCGTTCTAACAACAAAGCACAGAGCTTGAGGGGTAACAACCTAGCCAAGAAACTGTTATGGGAAACCCATGAGATCACACAAAGGCACACCAATATTAAGGATGTGCACGTGGTTCAAACTCCCACCCTTCTTTATACATGTAGGATCAATTTCAGTATTGTCAGGGAACAACCAGAACAAACACCACCGCATGGATCCCTCCGGTATAATTCCCCCGGGATAATCCGCTCCGAGCGTACCCAACACCGGGCCCCTGCCTGCCTCATCGATGCCCAGGGTGCATGGCTCGGTCCGGCAAATGGCTGGCACAGCGGAGTCCAGCAGGCAGTTCGCCGAGTTGTCCCCTTCGAAGGCGCTCAGGTCCATCTTCGCGCGCGCCCGGAAAGCCCCGGAGAAGCCCAGCACGGGAAATGGAAAGCGGAAGCCGCCCATGGCATTCTGGGCATTGTAGTTCGTGAACTGAGAAGGTGCCGAGGAGGCAAAAAGCAGTTTCGCTGCAAAACCGCGATCTATCCAGCGTTTGCTTTTTAAAAAAAAAAAAAAAAAGCGCGGGAAATCCTATCTAGTCAACAAAACAGGACGACGGAAAGGAAGGATACGATATTGTCTATTTTGGAACCTCTCCAAAACTGAGGTTTTTATTTTGGTCTTAATCCAATGCATAGCCTGGCTTGTTGCCAAAAAGGTAGTACTGAAGAGAGCTAACAACAATAACATTTAAATAACACACATACAATTAGACAAAACAAATAAATTTAAACACACAGACACACAAATCAATTAGCTAGTCGCAACTAATTAAAATGTCTTCAACAGCCATTTCGTTTAAATGCTAAAGGTCAGAATAAGAAAATACCTTAGATGGACAACAGGAGGGGGCAAATTTAGTCTTTTCTTGGCAGAGTTCTAAAGATTGGAGGGGGACACATTAGAAGTCCTGGATCGCATCCCCATTCCCACCAGCCGGCCGGGTCAGCTGAAATTTCCAAAAAAATTTTCAAAATCATTCCCACATAGTCCATGTTCTAAACGCTCAAAGAGGATGCATGTAAGACCTGAGTCAACACCATTCCGTATCTCCAGAAATACTGCCATTGGTGCACTTACCTTATCTATGCAAACATACTCCTAGCCGCTATGAATCCAGGGCAACTAAGTTCAGGATAATAGCCAGTATACTGAAATTCCAAAAGTAAGTCTTCAAGAAGAACATAACCCCTACCAGCACAGGTTGGATCTTTCTTTAATTATCTGCCTTGCGAATGACCAGGAGCACCCCTGTCTTGTCCACGTTATGCTCCAATTTGTTTGTCTTCACCAGATTAATTGCTAACATCAGATTTAGAATTTAGAGCAGCATTCTTAGATTTAGACAGAAAGGAGAGATAAACTAGGTGCCATCAGCATATTAGTGGAATTGAACTCCAGAACTGCAAACAGCCATTCCCATAGGTATATGTATATGATAAATCACATAAAGAATCAGACATAACCACAAGAGGCTCCAGAAGTCCATGGCCATCATGTTGAGCTCAGATTTCCCCATTTCACCTTTAGAAAACGTCCCTCCTTCTAGGAAGGACAGTGCCCTCAAGCCCATTCCTAGACAGGAGGTTCAGAAAAAACATAGTGGTTCAGCCACTGAGACATCCATCAGAACCAACAAGTGAGAAACATGTGTATCTCAGCTTGTCTGCATCCTGGGGCAGATCATCCACTAATGTGAAGGTAACCAAACCTTTCTGTGCCCCATAACCAAGTCTGAAACCAGATCACAATGGATCCAGTATCTACGTTGTCCTTCTAATGAACGTACTGTATGTTCCTTTTAGCTCTTTTGACTCATGCCTATCCTTGAAGAAGCCACTAAACTGAGTCAGACCATGCATTGACCTGAAGCAACATGGCCCAGTCAGGACCCTAGTGGAGCCTCTTTTCAGACTTGTTCTTTGTGATTCTGATAGCTGGAAATGTAAGAACAATACTGAAACTGAGAATATCATTATGCAAAATGTACACGGATTGCTGCCTTGTTGTGGCAAAGGGGCTTGAGTAATTCAGAGAAGCTATAGGCTATGCTGTGCAGGGACACCCAAGACGGACAGATCACAGTGGAGAGTTCTGACTAAACACGATCCACCTGGAGCAGGAATTGACAAGCCCCTCCAGTATCTTTGCCACGAAAACTCCATGGACAGAAACAAAAGGCTAAAGCTGGAATGATGCTGGAAGATGAGCCCCTCAGGTCAGAAGGCATCCAACGTGCTACTGAGGAAGAGTGGAGGACAAGTAGCTTCTGTCTGAGCTAATAAAGTGGTTGGGCCAAAGTCGAAAGGACGCTCAGCTGTGGACATGCCTGAAAGTGAAAGGAAAGTCAGAAGCTGCAAAGAAAAATACTGCATAGTGTGAGATGCAAGGCAAGTGTAAAGACTCTTACCAGAGTGTCGTTCTCCCTCAAAAAGGAACAAGAGGCACAGACTAACCCGCCTGCACCGCCCATTGAGACCAAACAGCAGGGAGTCGTTACCCAGGAGCTGGTGTGGGAACTGTTAAAAATGACAGTGGCCACCCACACAGGGGGCAAATTGGCAGGAAAAGAGGAAAGGGGGAGGTCTGTCATGGAGGTGGGAATGGGAGATATAAAAGGAGAGGTGGACTTAATACCGAGGGGATGGGAAATGATATGGGTAGAGGACCTTGGACCGGTAAATGGGAAAAGGTACTGGTTCCCCGAGAGGAAGCGGATTATCAGAGAATAAGGGGTCTACTCCAACACCCTTCCTATTGGGGAGAGTCTGAGGCCCGGGAGTGGCACAGGCGACTCAGGGAGGAGAAAGAAGCAGTGGATAGAGAAGAGAGAGAACACCAGGTACGGCATTTAGAGGAAGCCCAGAGGAGCGGCTACTTAACGGGCCGTGGACCTCTCTACGAGGAGAGGAGGCTATCTACGGGACAGAGATTCGAGACAAGGAGACCACCCCACTGCTGAACCTGGAATTAGAGACTTGTGAGTTAGACAACGGTAACCAGTTTTTGAAAGGACCTTGGGATAAGTTAAATAGCAACCCCTTCATTAAAGACGTTTGGATGCTCTCGTCGGACCCGTAGAAGAAATGGAGTAGCCCTCATAGTCAACAAAAGAGTGGGAAAAGCTGTACTGGGATACAATCTCAAAAATGATAGAATGATTTCAATACGAATCCAAGGCAGACCTTTCAACATCACAGTAATCCAAGTTATGCACCAACCACTGATGCTAAAGAGGCTGAAATGGACCAGTTTTATGAAGACTTGCAACACCTTCTAGAAGGGGAAGATATGGAGGTAGTAACAGATTTTACTTTCTTGGGCTCCATGATTACTGCAGATGGAGACAGCAGCCACGAAATTAAAAGACACCTGCTTCTTGGGAGGAAAGCAATGACAAACCTTGACAGCATCTTAAAAAGCAGAGACATCACCTTGCCGACAAAAGTCCGAATAGTCAAAGCTATGGTTTTTCCTGTAGTGATATATGGAAGTGAGAGCTAGACCATAAAGAAGGCTGACCGCCGAAGAATTGATGCTTTTGAACTGTGGTGCTGGAGGAGACTCTTGAGAGTTCCCTGGACTGCAAAGAGAACAAACCTATCAATTCTAAAGGAAATCAAGCCTGAGTGCTCACTGGAAGGACAGATCCTGAAGCTGAGGCTCCAGTACTTTGGCCATCTCATGAGAGGACTCCCTGGAAAAGACCCTGATGTTAGGAAAGTGTGAGGGCAAAAGGAGAAGGGGACGACAGAGGATGAGATGGTTGGACAGTGTCATCGAAGCGACCAACATGAATACAGCAGATGATACGGTGCATACAAACACTATACGTAGTGTGCACTTTTTTGTGAGTAAAGTGTTGCTTGCCCACTGCATCAGAGCTAAAACCATTTGTGTGGTTTCGGTACCAGTGCTAAGCAGAAAACAAACAAGTATGAAAAGTTAACAACAACTCCAGAATTGTTTTTTATTTTTCATAATTTATCCTTCTAAAATGTTGCTGCTTACTTCCCTAGGGGTATCCTTCATGCCATTTTCCTTCAAATTATGAACAAAGTAACTAGAGAAAACAAATTGTAACTCCTTCCTAAATTTTCCTTTTTCATAAAACCTCTATACTGTATCTATTTATCTGAACTTTCCTGCAAGTCATATTTATCCACCTTTGAAAAAGCTCAGTTTTTTTTTAACCATAGATGAAAGGGGAAAGAGGAGTTGGTATAACTCGGTGGTTTGGAGCAGTGGTTCTTAACCTAGGGTTACTCAGGTGTTTTTGAACTGCAATTCCCAGAAACCCTAGCCAGCACAGCTGGTGGTGAAGGCTTCTGGGAGTTGCAGTCCAAAACACCTGAGTAACCCAAGGTTAAGAACCACTGGTTTCTAAACCAAATCCTTTACACAATCGAATACACAATCGAAGTGAAGAATAGATTTAAGGAACTAGATTTGGTGGACAGAGTTCATGAAGAACTATGGATGGAGGCTTGTAACATTGTACAGGAGACAGCAACAAAAACCATCCCAAAGAAGAGGAAATCCAAGAAAGCAAATGAGGCCTTACAAATAGGGGAGAATAGAAGGGAAACAAAATACAAGGGAGATATGGAAAATTACAGAAAATTGAATGCAGACTTCCAAAGAATAGCAAGGAGAGACAAGAGGGCTTCTTAAATGAACAGTGCAAAGAAATAGAGAAAAATAAAAGAAAGGGAAAAACCAGAGATCTGTTCAAGAAAATTGGAGACATCAAATGAACATTTTGTGCAAACATGGACATGACAGAGGACAAAAATGGTAGGGACCTAACAGAAGCAGAAGACATTAAGAAGAGGTTGCAAGAATTGACATTTCATCCATCGTATCAGTTTATTTCCATATGTCTGAGAAAGTGGACTTGTCCACAAAAGCTCACATTAAAATATAAAAGCTAGCTTTTAAGGTGCCATATACAGTGTTGTTATCTTTTTGTTTGGTTTGGTTTCTTTGCATTTTGCCTGGTATGTTTGCATACAAGAGACTTAATAAGTACAAATAGCTTTTTGATGTAAAGTTGCTCTCTTTTACAAGCCAAGTTCCTGTGCTTCTGCACAAGAGACAGAATTGTAACTGGTGTATCTGTGGCTGCACGCAGACTCGTTATGAAGAATTTACCTACTGTATTGAATACTTACCAGTTGCAAAACGAGCGCTGCCTTTATCAGTTGCGTAACAATAAGCAAGGATACAAGAGTGGAGGGGGGGATATGTTTTCTATAGGGAAACAAGGAGTACAAAACGGGTACGCAACAACTGTGTGTTTAAGTTGGGAACGAGGATGTCATCACTGTATTTCCAGAAGGGCTCTTGGTGGGACAGGCATACACCGAGCAAGCACGGCGTGGATTAACGCCTCTGTTCCCGAGCCAGTCCTCTCCAACCCGAACAGGAGGGGAAACAAGGCGGGGGGGGTCTGCGGTGGCGCTGTCTCGGCGCCGCTACCTCTGAGAAGCAGACTCCGGATTAGGCCCCGCCTTCCCGCGCCCTCCTCCTCCTTATTCCCCCCCCCCGGCCAAGGCCGCCGCCGCCCCTGCAGTGCCTCCCGCGAGCGCCACGCCTCCTGGTCCTCTTCGCCGACGGCCGTGCGCGGACACCAGAGGTAGGGCGAGGGCGACTTCGAAGGGATGCGCGGCTTGCGATCTCGGCAGGCCTCGTTCTGGGGAATGTGGGCCTGGAGCGTTTTATTTCATCCCGCCCGGCTTCACCGGCAGCGGCGGCTGGGGAGAGGGCCTCTTTTTTTCTCTCTCTTCGCTGCGGACCCGGTTCCTCACCCGCGCTTCTTGAGCAGCCTTGCGCCGCGATGGAGAGGTTCGGGGTTCTGGCGCTGGGGGAACCCGCGCCTCGTGCGCCTTTGTTTTAAAAGGGGGCGTTGGCGCGGCATATGTGTGTGTGTTTTTCCCCCCCACGCTGGCACCGAGATCAGCGAGGGGAAACACGTGTATCTCGTCGGGTGTCCCTGGACCTCCCTTTCTGAAAGATTGCCTTGCTTCTTGAACGGGCGTTCCTCGATCTCCCTGAAAGGCGAGCTAAACGCTGCCCATTACGTCCTCGGCATATGAGTAGGAGGGCTTTTCTTTGTGTTTCCGACTGAAGAAAGGGGGGAGAAGGGAAAACGGCGTGCCGACTTCGTAATCCGACCCCACGGGTCCTTTTCCCCCTACCTTTCTTCCGCCGCTTCTCTTCTTTCCCCGCCCATCGTCAAACCCCCGCAAAGCGCAAAGGCTTTCCAAGGCGGCCTGGCGGCGAGCGTCGTCTGTAGCGAGGTTTGCTTTGCGCAGGGCGACGAAGCGGTCTTTTCTGGGGCTCCAGGCGGGAGGGGGGCGGCTGACGCTCCTAATACAGTGCTGGCGAATATCCCGTGACCCAGAGCGAAAAAGTTCTTTAGCTGCGGAATTCCTGCTCTTTAAACAGAGAGGGTTAAGTGGGTTAATAAGGAATTGGGAAATGGCACTTGTTAGGGCGAGGCATGAAAGGGGGCCCTTCAGGGAACGTTTCCTGCAGTAGTGTTAGTATGGGGAGGGGGGGTTGGGTGGGAGAAACAGAAGATGTGGTGAAAGCATCTTGGGGGTTGTGTTTATGTGCATATTGGCCTCTTGAGATCTTCCTGCTCCAGAGTTTTGTCTTCTTTTTGAAGGCTGAAGAACACAAAACCTTCAGTGTTTTCAAGCTGGCTGCACCAGTAAAGGCAGATCAGCTAAAGTGGACAATGGCTTAGCATTGTTCGCGCTTTGCCCGTTCTTTACCAGGAGGGACTGTTTATCGCCTAAGTCAGAGCAGTTCTGCCACCCCTCTTTCTTGAGCTGGGGGACTCTGATAAAGCCTCTTGGCTGGGACAGGAACACTTCCCCTCTCAAGTTCTGAGATAATGGCTTGTTCAGCAAAGTTCAAAATGTTGTCTCTTAAAGGGGTGGGTGAGCAAAGGGCTGCCTTCAAGCAGGGATTTGGACTGCTGCCCCCATCAGCCCCAGGCATCAGTCAGGAATGTGGGAGGCTGCAGTCCAGGGCTGCCTTCTTCAAAGGAGCTTGAGATGAGGAGCCTGGCTGAGACAAGAGGAGCAAAGTTGCTCCAAGCCAGACTTGGGTTGGGTGTCACCATGGTTTAGCCATGGGAAGTATTAGCACAACCTTTTATCATCGCTAAATGATTGCAGCTACATGCCCAGAACTCTTGGTGTAACTTGTTCATAAGCTAAGACCAGAGCAGCATTCCGAGGGACCCAGCCTGACTGGGACTTAATTCAGAACTTGGTGGGGCATGGAGAACCTGCTGTTGCGCAGTCACTGGAGATAATGGCGGAGGGAAGAGTCTTTGATAATTGATTTTAAATTGCCTAGCAACAGCTTGCATTTGCCTTGCTCATTCATTCTGTGCAATATACAAAAGCCTTCCTCCTGCATAATGACGCTTATGGGTCATAAATAGCATTCCTTCCTCTTCTCAATTACATGTCACTAGAAGAGATGCAGGTGCATCTGCTAGTCTGAAATAGTGTGTGCTTTGCTGCTTGTCCCAAAAACCAGTGGGCACTGTCTGTGGAAACCCATGTGCAGCAGGGCAGCCGTACACCTTGAACAGCACCTCTGGAAGTAAAGCTGCTCATCTCACAGGAGTACGGCCAGCACAGGCAGAAACGCTTTATCTCAAAGTCAACAAAGGAACCTGATAATTTCTCATCTTTGCCAGAAGTGAGTCCCTGTGCCCATTCAAGACTAAGCTGTTCCAAAATGCTCCATGAGATGGAGCCATGGCTCACAACAGTATACAGTATGTCTTTCAAAATTCATGTCCTGCCTCCTTCTTTGATAATTGTAGCTGAGCTTAGACAGGTGATAGGTACCATCCTCATCCCTACTAACTAAGCGTTCTTACACGTGAGACCTTTGAATCTGACCTCCGTTACACAAACAGGTAGAGGTAACTCATGTGTTCAGTACTGATTGCATGTGGTAACCCCTCCAGCTGTGGAAGATAAATTGCATTTGTCTCTGCCCTAGCTAGAGAATGCTGCATATTAATAGTGACTGCCTGGATTTATCCCTGAAGGTCTATAGAAAGTCAGGTGTGGCGACATGCTGTCGTCCCTGGCTATGACTGTTGCTTTCTGCAGTTTCCTAACGGCCATCTTCATGTTCATACATGCTGCTGCTCTGCAAGAGTACCGCTTTATCTATGCTCTTGTTCCTGTGCATATACCCAAAATGTTTGTTTTATTCTGAAAAGCAGGGAGGGGTGGGAGGGATGAAATAATGGGATTGACTACTTTTTTTGCACAACAGCCAGAACCAAATCAGCAAAGTATTGATGTGAATAGTTGTGATGGAGTAAACTTTGTAAAAGGATCTTTGACAATGGAGTGGAGTTGAGGAGAAGGAAACTCCCATCACAGCTTGGCACCCACCAAGTGCTGTACAGTTCAAAAAGGTGCTTGAAAATGTGTACAATTTCCACCACTGAGCCAATAAGAAGCAGTGTTTAATGCGCTGTACTTCCATCTCGGATCTCCTGTAATGACAGAGAAACCACTTGTCTGGGTTTGTTTTTTCTTTCTCTGTCTCTCTGCCACACACAAGATACACGCCTCTCAAGCCATCTGAAATAGGTTTAAAAGAAACAGCAGGAAGGTTTTGCTAGCTAACCAGTGATTGGTAGGCAGCACTTGCTCATGCAAAGTTTCTTCTCAAAACGTCGTCATGGAAGTGACTGCTTGAGCCAGAAAGCAACCTTTCTCCTCAGCGGAGCGGAGGCCTGCCTGCTAACCTTATGTGTGCCAAGGATCTTCTCGATTTGAACAGAGTCCCTGTCTTGTTAAACACAGTCCCTCCTGTCACTCTAGGGCTGGATGCAGTTCTGTGCTAGAGTAAGAGAAGAGGCTCTTCCATACACTTACAGTTTCTCATTGGCAAGAAGCTGGGTTTTAAAGTCAAATGGGACCTGCTGGTGGCACCTGAAGTTGGTGGGGTGGAAAGGGTGAGACTAAAGGGTGAGATGAAGCCAGCTACATCTAATTCACTACCGAACCTCCTCCCTTGGGAAGTCTTAAGTACACAAGTCATGCCTAACAACTAAATGAAGGAATACTTTCTTGTCAGCCTTGGTTTAGAAGGGCTGGCTGCTTTCACACTTGCTTCTGTGCTGAGAAGAAAAAGCCACCAAACTGGACGTTGAGGAGTGTGAAAGATTTCCTCGTCTTTCAAAGATTCTCAGCAAACTATAGCCTCAATGATGGTGTGTGGAAACCACATTAAGACTGTCAGGAGCTAACACGTTTTTTCCAGACCTTACTAGAAATTTAGACGACATCACAACCTCTACAATTAATACAGCTTCTGCAGACACTGCCAGAAATTAATCTAGCTTGCTTTCTTTGGAGTTCACTTCAGTGTGTTGGCTAGAGCAGTGGTCCCCAACCTTGAGACACTGCCAGAAATTAATGTAGCTTGCTTTCTTTGGAGTGCACTTCAGTGTGTTGGCTAGAGCAACTTCTCTTCCGTTCTCTCTAATGTGCATAAATAGATGCACTCAATTCCCTTATACTTCCTGATAAGTACAGTATAAGCTGAACCCCCATCACTCACTCACACACATAAAATTTAGCTGCATGCGCCGCTAGAGCAGCTTCTCTTCCATTCTCTCTTACGTGCATAAATAGATACACTCAATTCCCTTATATTTCCTGATACGTACAGTATGAGCTTAACCCATCACTCACTCACACACATAAAATTTAGCTGCATGCGCCAAGCTACTCTGTTGATACACAGGCTTGCACCTAGCCACCTTATTTCATGTGCAGGTGCATAGACACACCCTGATACGTACAGTATGAGCTTAACCCATCACTCACTCACACACATAAAATTTAGCTGCGCTGCATGCGCTACTCTGTTGATACACAGACTTGCACATACCTAGCCACCTTATTTCATGTGCAGGTGCATAGACACACCCAGCCACCTCACACAGAAAATACCACTCTCTGCTTTCTCATCCCACTCTCTCCATGTGGTCCGGGCGGGTGACAGATGCTGCAGCCATGGTTGCTATTATGCCTGAGGGAACAAAAACAGCTACCACTTCCTCCACCACTGTCCACACTCAGAAACCATTGTTTTTTTAAAAAAAAAACATGGTTGCCTATAGACATCAGTGTCTGGGCGGGTGGCAGATGCTGTAGCCATGGTTGCTATTATGCCTGAGGGAATGAAAACAGCTACCACTTCCTCCACCACTGACCACACTCAGAAACCATTAAAAAAAACATGGTTGCCTATAGACATCAGTTTGCCCACCCATTTTGTCTGGCGCTTGTCCATGACATAATGCCTTAAATTGGGGTGGGGATGGCTATACTTCCTGGCCATCCATGGTAGCCAAGCAGCAGAGTATTGCTGTGTCTCATGCCAGCTCCACCTGCACTCTGCTAGAAGAGACCAAGGCTGGAGCTTGCTGCAGGGAGAAGGCCCTCCCTCATAAGGTTCTCCATTGCACATGTGGTGGTCAAATTTGGGGAAAGAACGGATGCCTCAGAAATGGGACTCTACTTATTGCTCCGGCTTATTTAATAAGATTGGAGAAGGGGGTGGCCAAGGCTGGACGTTTGACCCAGGAGACCTCATGAAAGGCTCCAGTTGCTGCAACCTTTTAAACCCTTTGAAGAAGGGGGTGGAGGGAGAATATTATACTTATTGCTCTATTTAATAAGATTGGAGAAGGGGGTGGCCAAGGCTGGACGTTTGACCCAGGAGACCTCATGAAAGGCTCCAGTTGCTGCAACCTTTTAAACCCTTTGAAGAAGGGGGTGGAGGGAGAATATTATATTCTGTGTCAGACTTCCAGAGACTTTGCCCAGTAGCCAACATTATCTTTATTCTGTTCTGATTTTTCAGAAAATGGCTTCTGGTAAAGCTTATATTGGGAAACCTGCTCCAGACTTCCATGCCACAGCAGTGGTGGATGGTGCCATCAAGGAAATAAAGTTGTCAGACTACAAAGGTGAGGAATACATTCATTTCTGGTTGTCCTTAATATCGTCTCCTCTGAGACTGTACCAGTATAAGTAGACAGGGAATCATGGAAGAGTTAGTCTTTGTTATGCACTATCAAGCTGCTTCTGACTTACAGTGACACTGTTAATTTAGTAACCTCAAAACGGTCCTGTGCTCAGGCCTTTCAGACCAAAGACTGTGATTTCCTTTGTTGAGTCATTCCATCTTGTATTTGGTCTTCCTCTTTTCCTGCTTCCATGAACCAAATTTGTCTTTTCTAGCGAGTCTTCTCAAAATGTGCCAAAAGTACCATATCCCCATTTGGTTCACTTCCATTTCTAGAGAGAATTCAGGGTAGATTTGATCTAGCATACACTTGTCTTTCCTCCAACATCATATTTTGAATAAATCGGTTTTCCCCCCAGTCAGCTTTTTTTTACTATCTAGCTTTCAAATCTGTACCTACAGTAGTCATTTGGAATATTATGGCATGGAAAGGTTAGGGTATGTTTGCTGTGTTTTTGGATACACATACCCTGGCTATCTGGGAGATTCTGAAGAGTGCCAGTCCACAAAAAGTAACTTTTCTGAGTGCTGACCCCAGCCATGGCATTGGTACCTCAGGGCTACCTGGGTAAACAGAAGCTAGGTGTGTGTAGGAGGCAAAAGCTTTCTTCCTGATGCAGTCTGGAACACAGAAGTATCGAATCTCCTTTAAGAGTAACACGAAGCCACCTGGCTAATGGCTTGAGAGCAAGTGGCTGCTTTTAGGTTCATGATGTCCTACTCGCATTTTCCTCTGAGGCGAGACGATAAGGGGCCATGGCTTTATTTCATGCAACAGAAAGAGGTAGAGCTTTGGCACCGGTGAGGTATAGCTGATGCCAGACCTTGACTTCTGCATACATGAATTAGACTACTTGCCCAAGCAAGAAGCGAGATAGCCAAGGCTTACGGATCAAAGGACTAAGGTCTCTCGCTGTGGTAGTGCTTTTGCTCATGTGGCCTGTCTCTCTCACATAGGCAAATATGTGGTTCTCTTCTTTTACCCACTGGATTTCACCTTTGTTTGCCCCACGGAGATCATCGCTTTCAACGACCGAGTGGAGGAATTCCACAAGATCAACTGTGAGGTCATTGCAGCTTCCGTTGACTCTCAGTTCACCCACCTGGCCTGGTGAGTCTCCTAGGGCCACGGCTCTCAACCTTTTGCGTGCCAGGTATTCTTTGCATTTCACTCGCCAGCAGCCTCACCCAGCTTGGCCATTGACTGAGGATTCTGGGAATTGAAGTCCAGGACATCCAGAAAGACAACAGTTGGAAACCTGTATCTTAGTCTTCCTAGTATTAGTATGTGTCCTTCTCAGATTGAAAAGCAAGGACTAGATGTTCATACTACAGGCTGGGCTGTAATGGAAAAACTAGTATAGTAACTGCACTTTCTGAAGAGCAGGCCCCAACTTGTTTTCTGCACCTCAGCTATTGATTTAGCTGCCTATTTTTGGCTTAACGTGTCCTAGATATGAA